TAATATCAGAGACTGAGTGTTATTAAAAAGTATTACTTTCATACAATGTATATATACTTACTGTGATAATTCACTCTCTGTACATGTGACTGAGAGTTGTGACTTTCTCATGCTACACAGCTCTCTCTGAGATACTGATTCTGATTTATAACTCACACAGTCTCTCAGTTCAGTATGCACTGTATGTATATAGTTCTGTATACTGAGACTGTGTTAATTATTATAATCTGACATAATACTCACTTTTCACAGGCCATGTTTCATTTGAAAGAGAGAGAAGAAGATATGACTGTGATTTTATTAAGAGAAGATGAATAATTAGTGATATTGAATATAATTTAATTCTTCTATATTTAAAATTTGATTAGTCTATACTCTTCAATTTGAGGATTTCTAAGAGTGTTTTAATAGTTTTCATATCAGCTTGAACTTAGTGATGAGTTGAAGAAGAAGAGAAAAGAGAGAAGAAAGAAATGAGAATAACTTATCTTTATAATATGAAAACAGAGAATCACTGCAATCATTCTCTCTAGTAATAAAGATCTGTTTTCTGCATGTATCTCTGATTAAAGATTATATAATAACTGTATACAAAGAATATCAACACTGTATATATTGAATGAAGATGATGTTACTATACAACACTGTAGCTGTTTCTATATATCTCTGAAAGCTGTTAATATTTTCTTTATCTCTTTATATTTGATAAGTCAGTAATATATTTCAATACACTTCTTCTTTCATCATTATCATTATTATTATCATTATTATTATCATCATTATCATTATCATTATCACTATTATCATCACTATTATCATCATTATTATTATCATTATTATCATCATTATTATCATCATCATTATTATTATCATCATCATCATTATTATCACTATTATCATATTATTTCTGACTGTCTCTTCTGCCTTCATCTCTCTTTAACACTCACTGAAATCAATCATGTTATTTCTCTTCAAATATTCTACAGTTCTGTGAATCACTAAGGCACATGAGTGCTGTCACAGATTGAAGAGAGAGAAGAAAAAGATGTTTAAGTAAGAGAAGACAGATTTTAAGACATGTTATAATACCTTAAAAAGACTCTGTAAGAAAGTAGAATAATAATGATTTTAAGTAACACTTCTGATAGATTTAGACTGAACTAAGTATAGAAATAATACTGATAATACTGTCTATGAGAGATTGAAGAAGAAGATAGTGAAGAGTCTTATATAATAGTAGTGAGATCAGAAGAAGTTCTGAGAATGATTTAAGTTTAAGATAAAGAGAGAAAGAGAGAAGAAGAGTATTACTGTAAATAAGTAATAGTAGAAGAAGATTAAGAGAGTGTGAAAGTGAGAGATAAAGAAGTTCAAACTGATAAGTCTTTTATTTATTAAGAGATAATGATTTTTAATAGTACTTCTGTTCTCTAATTGATTAGTAGAAGCTGATAGAGAAGAAGGGAATTAAGGCCTTGTTCAGGTCTTGAATACACTATATAATTCAGAATATTAAGAAGACAGCTCTACTCTCTGAGCATGTCAATCTGCTTACTACTGAGATAGAACCCGAGACAGCAGATTAGAAAATGCAGGATTTTGAAGCACAGATTGACCTGACTGAGAAGAAGCAGTAGAAACTCTTCTTTAAGAAGATAGTAGAGAGAGATTTTGAGATAATTATCATCTCAGATGAGAAGAAGAAGAAGAAGAAGAAGAATAAGAAGTAAATTATAAAGAATGATAAGAAGAATAAGAAAGAGAAAAAGTAGAAAAAATTTTTTTCTTTTAATATTAATTAGTTATAAGTTCATAATTATTAATAATTAAAATTGATTTTGAGTTTTCAAAAATTATTGTACAAGTTGTAATCAAGTCAGGAATAATATATATATATATATATATTTAACTATCATAATTCACAAATCACTATAATATATAAGTATCAACATTTTTTCAACATTGATATTCATAATATTAATATATTTTCAATAATATTATCTGATAATATAATTTGATAATACTCTCTTTCACAATATTAATGTATTTCAAGAAATATAACAGAGATTAATCAAGATTATTTATTTACTTTAATACATTGATAATGTTCAATCTGAGTTATTACTAAAATTATAACTAAGCTAAGAAATAAGATTATTTTCTTTTATATTAATTCTTCTTACACACATCAGTGATCAGTTATTGAAAATAAATTATTATCTTTCTTAAATTATTATTATATCTTCTAAATTTACTTCTTTCACTTCTTTTAATTCTATTGAAGATTCACAAACTCTTCAAGAAATTACTGTAAATTACAAAGTCTATATTATTTACAATTCAACACAGAATGCTCTCTTTAATTATAATAGATAATCATTTCATTCTTCACATCTGATTTCAGGTTATAAAATTTATGAAAAACTTAACATAAATATCAAGATGAACTATGAAATAATTATCAATACATTGTATTGTAAATTACTGAAGAGTTATCTCTCTGTTACAATTACTGTAACTTTATTCAGAAATATTCATCATAAACTGATCATGACTCTGAAGAAATTTCCTGACATCTGAAGTCATCAGAATGCAGATAATAAAAGAAAAATAATTAGAAAATTACTACTGAGCTGATAAGTTACTCTATCAGATAATAATTTTTAATAACACTAACTTTCTAATTTGAAGAAAATCATGTAAAAATAATTATATATTAGTACTCTGATTTCACAACTCTCATCTGATAACTTCTGTGAATAATTACTTTATATATGTATATCTCTGAATCTTTCTCTTTAATCAATTGAAAATTCTGAATTTCAAACACTTCTTTAAATACTTAATTCAAATCTTCATATTTCACATCAAGTCTGTCTTCAGTTCAATCTTGAGACACACTACAAAGTCAATATATAATATCTAAAATCAGAGTTGAAGAATCATTGAAGAGTGTCTCTTACAGTAAATATATAAACTAGTATAAACAATCTTACATTTATAAGAGTTATATATTATTATATTGATGAGAACTGAACTTATCAAGAGACATTAATTGAATTTGAATCATTGATCAGTAGTCATACTGAGAATTATATAGCAGAGATATTAATAACTGTGATTAAAAATAACTATTGAGATATTAGTCTCAGTCTTCTTATAATTATAACTGATAATACTGTGAATAACTAGACTATGATGAAGAGCTTGAAGTAAAAATTAACTTTGCATTTCTGAAATAATAAATAAGATTATATTCTCTGTATTGCTTATAT